GTGTGGATCATGACAAGCTATGGACAACATTGTGAAGTATGAGTATGTGCTTATAAGGAACCTGTATGTAGATCAAGAGGCAGTTATGTGAACAGAAGAAAGGATCACTGAGTGGTTTAAATTTAGGAAAGGTGTGCACCAGGGTTGCATTCTTTCACCATATTTATTTCATCTGTTGTTGAACAAATAATCCAAGAAGCTGGATTATATGAAGAAAAACACGGCATCAGGATTGGAGGAAGACTTGCTTGCTGAAAGCGAAGAAGACTTACAATACTTATTGTAAGAAGACTTACAATACCGAAGGGTATGGGCTACATTTCAATGTAAAGAAAACAAAAATCCTCACCACTGGAACAATAAACAACATCCCTATAAATGGAGAAAAGATTGAAGTTGTCAAAGACTTCATTTTGTTTGGATCACCACCAAGACTCATGGAAGCAGCAATCAAAAAATGAAATGACATATTGCATTGGGCAAATCTGCTGCCTAAGACCTTTTTAAAGTGTTGAAGAGCAAAGAAAGCAGTTTGGGGACTAAGGTGTGCCTGATCCAAGCCATGGTATTTTCAATAGCCTCATATTCATGCAAAAGTTGATAGTGAATAAGGAAGACCACAGAAGAATTGATGAATTTGAGTTATGGTGTTGGAGGAGAATATTGAAAGTAACATGGACTGCGAAAAGAACAAACAGATCTGTCTTGGGAGAAGTATAACTAGAGTGTTCCTTGGAGGCCAGGATGACCATACTCCGTCTCTTGTACTTTAGACATATTGTCAGGAAGGACCAGTCACTGGAGAAGGATATCATGTTTGGTCAAGTGGAGAGTCAGAGAAAACGAGGAAGACTCCCCAGTGAGATGGACTGGCACAGTGGCAGCATCAGTGGGTTGAAACGTAGCAATGATTGTGAGGTTGGCCCAGGGCTGGACAGTGTTTCATTCTGTTGTGCACAGGATTATGACAAGTAACAACAACAACTTTAAAAAAATACAAGCCTTGAGTTGTAAAATATTGGGAGAAAATGTATTCTTTTATTGTCTGGTTCTGTGAATTTTGATTCAAGCATAGAAAAAGGTGAATTTTTACTTAGAATTATGTTGTTCCCCAAAATTGCTTTATGTTTCTACAATGAAAACAATTACTCAACACAACAGTTTGAGAAAGGAGAAAATTCTTTTCCTACTCATCAGTCTTCCTGAGAGATGAGATGAAATAGAGTCTCCCTCAGGTCAAGGGAGCAATTTGCATCTCCAGAATGTTGTCACTGTTGGTAAGTGTCGTGCCAATTCTGACTCATAGAGACCCTGTATAGGGTTTAAACTGCTGACCTTGTGGTTAGCAGTTCACTGTTTATCCTATAACGCCACACTAGGACTCTAAGATACTTGAACATAACAATCACTAGGTCTTTGCCCTGTTCAGGAACTATTTCTTCTGGGAAGTTCCTCCCAAGCAAAGATGATGCTTGGATCCCAGGAATGATATTCTAAATTGTGAAACACTTGGCTTTATTGTACTGACTAGAGAAAATCCCAAGATGGACCATAAAAAAGCAGTTACATGTGCATTTTCATTCCCAAATTTGGAATTTCTGAGTAATAAATAAAAGATATGATGAATGATAATGAATGAATAATTCAAGTAATTTAATTTCAGAATTTATCATTTTGATGAAAGGTCTGGCATACCCACAATGTGAATACTGGATAATAGCATTACATTTATTGAGGACTTATACTAGATGCTTAAGGAGCTCTGGTAGCATAGTGGTTACGAATCAGGCTGTGAACCGCAAAGTTAGCAGTTCGAAACTACCATCTGGTCCGCGGGAGAAAGATGAGGCATTCTGCTCCCATAAATATTCACAGCCTCAGACACCCTGTGCAGGGTCACTATGAGTCAGAACTGGCTCCATGGCACTTAACAACAACAACAACATAGCAACCTCACAGACACTGGAATGACACTGCCCGGTCCTGTGCCAAACTCACAATTGTTGCTAAACTTGAGCCCATTGCTGCTGCCACTGTGTCAGTCCATCTTGTTGGGGGTCTTCCTCTTTTTCATTGACCCTCCACTTTACCAAGCATGATGTCTTCCTCCACGGACTGGTGGTCGCTCCTGATATGTTTGAAGTATGAGAGATGTAGTCTGGCCATCCTGGCTTCTAAGGAGAATTCTGGTTGTACTTCTTTCAACATACTTAGTAAGATTATCTCCTTAGTGCCACTTCCATGCCTTAGTGTGTACTGTTTTCATATCGACTTAATTTGTGTTTGCATTAAGTGTTTTCAGTCAGCACTATTTCATATGGTATTTCATTCCTTTCATTAAAAGGAGTGCTGTAAATTGGATATTTTTCATCCTCTTAGGGCTTCAGTTTCTTCTTCTGTAAAATGAGAAATTTGACTATTAAATAATTTCAATTTATTTTTCAAGTTCTACTACTCGGTAATACAGTATCTATTATCTGCAAACATACAATGGAAATTGAGCGCAAGTTACACAGAAGTCTTCTTTGGAGAACAGGTTTACTCCAAAATATGGAAGCTGCTTAATGGGCCATAACTTTCCTCTTGTTCATGAGTCAGCATGAAAAATACCTCCAGAGAAGGCCACATTTATCTAAGAACACAGCTGTGTAATTCTGTATCCCTTTCCAACCCCATGGTACTGGAGATACATGCTTTTGGCGTTTTGAACAACAGTTAAATAGCATTAACCACTTTGTAAAGTCTGTAAGACCACAACTTGAAAAATCAAGCTGGTCATAAAAAACTTCAGTGGAACAAAATAGAGCTCCATTTATATCTGTTGTTAAATGCTGTCCAGTTGGTTCTGACTCATAGAGACCCTGTACATGGTTTTTGAGGCTGTACTTTTTTGAGGAAGCACAAAGCCTCCTTTCTCCTGCATTTATATATAGTACACAATAATGTTCCTCTACTTTTTATGTCATTTTCATTGATGCTGTGATACTGGTCAGTGTGGAAAAGACATTATTAGTAAACAACAACAACAACAAAAACTAAAAAATCAACCCTGAAAAAAACCCATTTGCATCATGAATTTTTATTAAACTTTTAAAATGAAACCTGAGCCCTGGTATGGCACTGCAGGATAAGTACTGGACTGGTAGCCACAAGGTTGGCTGTTCAAATACACCAGCTGCTTTTGAACACCCTATACAGGGTCGCTATGAGTTAGGTGAAAAAACACCTTTCCTTGCTAAGGAGCATATCATATCATAAGATGTCTTGAAAATACATTTTCTAACTAAATAGGCCACTGAGATAAACTTTCATTTAAAAACAAACTTTGAAGGTACTGTTGCTAAGTGGGTTGTACAAATTTTTTCACTGGAGGCCCCTTTAACACAGTGGGGGCCCCTCAGAACTCAGTGGGCAAAAACAAACTTGACGAGGTAAAATGAAGAGAAAAAAAAAAAAAAAAGAAACATTGGGATGGGGCTCGAAATCTTGTGAAGGAAAGAAAGATGTTGGCAGGGAACACAGTAAAATTGAAAAAAAGGTTAAAAACAGAATACTTGAAGTGGTCAAGTTGTAGTGAGTCCCCCCTGCCCCCTGTACATCTGATTTATATTTATGTTAATCTTCTTAAATGTTAAGTTCTGGCCAAACAATTAGAATATTTAAGCTTGTTTAGCGTTATTTCCATACACAGCATGAGACTGCATTACAGTACTGTATTATATCCTTAGGAGCAGGGGATCCATAATTCATGTAGTTCTTCTAAGGGCATCTGTCCTGCTATGAGACCACTGCCTTCCCATTGTCTAGACTGTAAGGCACCAGAAGCAATCAAACACAGGATCAATGTAACAGACAGGTGTGTCCTGGATTGTTCATATTTTCTGAATTTATAAAGCTACTCTGGAAGCAGTTAATGAATGAAAATTGAACTCAGATTCCTAATGCTTCCAAGTTATGTGCATCGATTGCTAAAAAACTCTTGTTTGTGGCATTGCTGACCAAGATGTAATATTAAAAGAGCTAGAGAAGACATAACCCAAGTGCCACTTATAATTATCCTGTTACTGTTAGAAACAGGCAACAGACCATGTCCTCAACCCCAACCACGTTTCAGAAAAGGCTGGCTCTCTTTTAAAGCTGTAAATCCCCTAGGATGAGACTTCCCCACCTGTCAGAACCTGGACGGTCTCCACAGGGGGTGCCCAGCACACCACCGCCACGCGGCGCTGAGGCCAGCCTCCCCGGTCTTGGGAGAGCTCTTTTTATTTTAAATTACAGACTTTGCAGCCACCGGATATCCTCGTTGCATTAACTAGCAGTAGCCATGTGGCTGCACTCTCGTTTCCTGACAACCACTGCATTATTTCTATTAATATCCTGTCTACGGTCCCTGGTAGAGCGATTTCTCACTCCGCCATCGCCGCCTCTTCCTCACCCCTCTCAACTCCGCGGGTTACTACACGATCGTGACCCGTGTGCCTGAACAAAGCGGAAACCATCGGAAAGTTCATTAAAACACATTGGGCGAAAGCGGCCTGGTATTGCCTCTCGACCACAGTAAACCACCCGGTCCCAGCCGTAGAAAGTGTCTCCACATCCCAGGTTTGAAAGAAGCCGACTTGCAAAGCGGAGAGGTCCGTAGCCCTGCGCTCAGTGAGATGGGCGAGGCGGGGCTGGGCGGGGCACACGCGGCCACCGCGTTCGCATTGTCCACGTTCCCCGCACCC